GATGAAACATGAAACAGGTTGTGATGAACTAATGATGAGATGAAACAGGTTATGATGAACTAATGATGAGATGAAACAGGTTATGATGAACTACATCAAATGTTGCAGTTTTTAAGTGTTTACTCCAGAACGTTCTCAGATTAACTGATATGCATCAGACTTGTTGTAAACAAAACTCTTTAATCTACTTGATCAACACGTGTGCTGGACTTCTCCATTGTTAACTTTATTTCAGTCACTTTGGCTTTTTACAAAAGTTAACAAACTCAAAATGACACACAACTTTTACACATTAGTCATCAATATAAAGAAAAATTAGAGTAAATTTTATGTATTTTTGAATTTTTAGAAATGTTTCATGACATTGAAATTCGTACCTTAAAGTAATTTTGAAATTAAAAAAGTAAAAGCCTGTGAAAAATAATAGTTTTTCATACCCAGATGACAATGCCAGGTTTGAACAGCTGGATGAATCGATCTCTCAAAGCAATGACCACCTAAAAAAAAAAAGAATTTAACTTTGTCTGAGCATTAAGTTTAAAGCTGACACACTTCATCAGAGTTTATGCTAAAACTAAATGTACAATGACCCGTTATGATTAATCAACATTAAACTAATATTCATTAAGAGCCCATGGTCAAACTCACCCAAATGGAAATGAGTGATGAGGCATAAAAGGACGTGAGGAGCATGGAGTTACCAAACATCAGGACGAAGCAGACACCCAGTGTGACCTGTGCAAAAAGACGGGATGCATTACTCCCAGGCCTCCCCCAGGAGTCGGCAGTCCACCCTGCAGCATTATATCATTATTGATTATCGTTCTGTGTAATTACAAATACATGAACATTTGAAATTGGCAGTGATTGATAACATTTCTGCCTTACAGGCTCGTCTGGCATATCCACATTAATCCATAATAAGCCGTCTCCAGAATGCATTAAACTGTAAATTCACAGCCAAGAGGAGAATATAATCCCATTCACTAAAGTCTTAATCCCAGTGAAGAGCAGAAAACTGAATCACTGCATTATACAGACAGTGATGACCAACTCAGGGCGCCGGTCTTTAGCAGACACCAGAAGGTATTCCCTAAAGCAGAGCAGATTACTGCAGGCTGTAAACTGAAACATCAGGAACGTTCTCAGGCAGGCGTCATGGCGTCATGCAAGAAGGAGAACGTGGTTATCAAGTGACGACTGCTGGTTAAAAACATGGAAGAACTACAACGTTTCACTAAAAGAAGAGGTAAAGACATGCACATAATCTGACAGACAAAAACACAAATCTGAACTTGACTTCTCTTTAGAATAATTTGTTCAATTCTCTTTGTAGAGATCTAGTATAGAGCTGTATGAATGGGTACATGAGGCACAGATTGTTGTAAAGAGCTCTGAGTATCTTGAAATAAGATAGAAAGGAGCTGTATAAGTACAGTCCATTTACCATTTACTACACTGAGACATAGTTCAGGACATTATCGTATTAGTTTCCATGTTTCAGTTAGTTTTAGTCACTCGTTATTTTAACTGTTTGTGGGTTTTTGTGTTATTTAGTAATTTGTGTGATTTTCTGATACAGGTTTCTTTGAATGTGGAGTTTTCGTATTAAAAAGGTTTGTAAGCTCAACCATGCAGGCAGACAACAACCTGTGTTTTAGTACGTTTCTCTATTTCTTGCCCGTGATTTAAGTTGTTAACTCTCAGCGTTTGCTTCTCTGTTCAGCCTGACAGTTTTAGGTTTCCGTGTCGTACCTCGTCATACTCACCTGTGAGCCATTTCAAATCAGCTCACCTGCTTCCAGTTGCCAGTCGAGTCTCCCAGCAGATATAAGCTCTCTAGTTTACCCTCAGATCCTCCAGGCGTGTCCCTGTCCATGTTGTGCTGGTCAGTCCTGGACTTTGTGCACGTTTTATTATAATAAATGTTTTGGATTTAAACCTTCGTGTCACCTGCTGGCTTCACTCCATGGCCTTCATCCATGAATGATTACCGTCAGGTGTTTACAACTCTCTTTTTCTCTGGTTTATCATCATTTAAGATTTATATAAAGTACCAGATGTTTGTGAATCAGTATTAATTTTGACAGCTGAGACACTAAACGTGACTAATAATGTGCAGACGATATACCTGGAGCACAACACACGAGTCTTCTCCGTAACAAGTGCCACAAACCAGGCTCATTATCAGGTGATGAAAGAGACGTGTGCTTTGCTGTGTGGTGCCGTGGTCATCGTTTCCCAGCTTCTGTAAATGATGCAAAGCCTTACGCTTCCTCTGACACAAATCTTCACAATCTTACCAGAAGTGTGTGTGCTTATCTGTGGTGGACCCAGACTGGAGCTGACAGCCTGGCTTGAGAAGGATTAGGGGAAAGGCAACCAAGAGGGACAAACATTTGCATTCTTTAACACAATCTGCACACACTGACACTACTTTCTGCAGCATGAAACATACAGTCCACACACTCTCAGTCTTCTGTGTTAAAAAGGTGACCGTGCATGTCTAGTGGTGCTAATGCTTCAGTCATCCTTTTTGTGTTTCATGTGAAAAACGTTCAGCTGCGCGTGATAAGGAACATCAGCTGAGGAGAGTTCACAACATAAAGTTATTGTTCTTCTGTTTTATCATTTGTCTTTGAGATAAACACAGACCGATGAACTAATGCAGTGGAGCTGTAACAGTGAGGAAGTGCTTCATTAGACTGATGGATGGGTAGAAGACACAGAAGTGGTGCTCACCATATGAGTGACCAGGATGGACTGCATCTTGGCAGCAGCCAGGTAACCTAGGATGTACGACGCAAACAGGGAAGCTACCTGAAAAACAGAACAGTCGACAAGACACTGCAGGGAACTCAGAAACAAGCGTTTTAGTTGAAAGACTGCTCGTCTGTTTGGACAAGTAGTTTTCTCCCAACAAGCTGAGTGTCTGTTCGTACACGGTATGACCCATCTCCAGAAGCTTGGAAAGAACTTGAAACAAGGACAAACAGAATCGCTTCACAGAGGAAACAGCGTTGCCAAGGACGTGTTGCCAAGGATGCAAATGGGTTTAAGCTCTGACTGCAGCATCAGGAGGTCAGCTGCTGCTTTGAGATTTTCAGGTCAGGTTCTGATCAATCAACTGTTAATGAGGCAAACTTGGTCAAATTGTGCGCTTTATTTCAAATGAAGCGTGGCTCAGTGAAGACTAGCCCGACAGCGTGACAACTGAGGATGCTTTTTAAGAGATTACCAGTTGTGGAAAAGCACTGGGAACAGATTCAGTTGATGCTGTTCAGTATTTTATTATGTTGTAGCACCTACTTATCACATTTTATTAAAAAACGTCCTTTTCATTGACCCACTCAGACAACTATGACCTGAAGATGCAGTCTGACAATTATGAGCAATTGTTGCTGTTCAAGGTACTTGTCACAACACGCTACAGTTTAACAGTGTAAAAACATAGTGCTGAGTTTTTATTTAACGAGTGTAATGAAATACAATTTGTAGAAAGCCTATTTTAAGGCAGACGGGACGTTTACTGTGACATGTTGAAAGCCCCGACACCTCCCTCCATCTGATCTGAATGGTGAGTGGTTTGGATGGATGCCTTCGGCCCTGGGTTGCTTTTTCAAAAGAGGTGAACATAAGCGACGGGTTCTTGAAATCGTTTTGAAAAATGAATTGATAAAGCCTCCTAGGTGGGAAGTGAAACGTCTTCAGCTTCAAACTAGAAGTCCAACTGTTTTGATTTTTATCTTTTGTTGGATGGACCATGAAGACCTGCACGACTGAGAACCTTCACCAGCATCTTATGGTCAGCCACCGATCTGACAAACACTTTGTGTGGATTTAGTTTTTATGAAGAAACTGCAATGAGAACTTTTATTCATTCTGACTCTGATATGTCCATTTCAAAATGTTTATGTTGCTAAATGACTTTGGACTTGATGGTCATGTTTCTCTGATTCAGGCCTGTTCAACAAAACTCCTGAGGGGCCACAGTTTCTGAGAGCCAGCAGCTTGGAGGCTGCACATCACTGATTAAAGTCATCGTGTAAATAAACCAAGTTTACAATGATCAGTTACCTTTTAAATGTGTTATTTGATTGAATTGAATCATAAATGACGCTCATCTGCTCACACAGACTCATGTTCATGCTGCTGTTCGACGTAATGTTTTTACACTGTTGGTGCTGAGTGTGTATTTAGTTGATGTTTTTCTTAGTTCATATCTTTGATCTTAATGTTTTTCTTTTACATTTTATTGTTGGATGTAACTGGGACCCTGTGGACATAATCTCGTTCCACCACATGTACCACATGAGGTGTGAATGACAAATAAAGAACCTTGAATCCTTGAATAAATGCAACAAAAAGAACCTAAAACCCAAACTCAGACCCCCCCCCAAAAAATACACCAGTATATATATTTTTATAAAGTGGGCCAGACTGAGGCCCGTGGGCCGCCAGTTGAATAGCCCTGCTCTACTGTACAGTGTAAAAGCATGAAGAACTGAAGGTGTCCTGGATCTGGTGTATTATTGTGCTGTTTCCTGTCCTTATCTGCTCTTCATGAGCTTTTCCTGCCACTTTTATTTAACTCCCGTCACATTCAGCCCCTGCACTTGTTACCATGTCCTTGGCATCAGCTGATTGCTCCAGTCTATTTTCCTTTAATCTCACTCCCACCTCCACTCTCTCTCTCTCTCTCTCTCTCTCTCTCTCTCTCTCTCTCGATGTGCCTCTTGCTCTCCGTTTACCTGAGTGAGCAGCACAAACTGGGCGAACTGCCAAGGCAGCATGAAGCACAAATTAGAGACGCCCAGAGCAACCATGGCTGTCCTGCTCGGCTTCCGTGTCCTGGAGCGAGGAGAGGCAGAGGAGGGGAGATAATGAAGTGGTGAGAATCCATTTGGGCACAGGAGATAAGAAAAGCTGTATTAAGATGTCTGAGGACACACAAATACTCACACACAAGCACACTTGTTAAAAGTCACTAATATAAAAAGCTCATTACGTCAGGAACACAACTGTTCAGTTTTCTGTGAAGCTGATGGTGGAACAGGCTCCTGACTGGGTTCACACCGCCCTGTGCCAGTCACAAGCTGGATGACACGACAGGATAATGTGTGGTACGAGCTGCGGCCCTTCAAACAGCTTCCCTCAGAGCACCACTTAGCTGACAACACAAGCACATGCTCCTCTCTGGACGTTTCTTCAGGCTCAGTTATAATTGGTTTGGGAAACGAACACCAAACAACTGCAGCACAATGACCTCCTCCTGACTGGATCATACGCGGACACCTTTATTACGAGCGCTGGATTATCCAGACTGGCTGTGCAGCGGATTAAATCCTGTCAGCAGATCAGGCCAGTTCACAAAAACAGGAGGCAATGGGGGAGTGGTGGTGCAGAGGTTAGAGAGGGTGGGCCTGCGATCAGAGGGTCGCCGCTCAACTCCCAGGATTCATGATACTGCTTCAGTCTGTTCATGATACTGCTTCAGTCTGTTCATGATGCTGCTTCAGTCTGTTCATGATGCTG